AAAAAAGAGGCAGAAATGAGAAAAGTATGTGGGAGTGCTCTATTTCTGTTTAGGGGAGAAAGGGCATGCACTATCTGTACACCCCTCCCCCCTTTTATTTTTCAAATCCCGCTCAGATGCACGGCCGTGCATACCTGAAGCACGGTCGTGCTCATGTAATGAAAGCACGCACCAAAGGACCTTTTCTAACATGGGCGTGTTCAGGGGAGGCACGCCCCTGTCCTCATTGAGCATGGTCGTGCTGTATGAAAGCACAGTCATGCATTTCTCGTCTACCCTCTTCATTATGTATAAAAACAATGAAAACTTAAAATAAAATTAAGAAAAGAGACATAATTAAGAAAATATAACACAAGGTGCCTCCTGGAAGCGCTTGTTTAATGTCGCAAGCCTGACATCTTGCCTGGGCTAGTCAAGTGTTATTGTGTGACCAGGAGGGGTCACATTCTCTATATACAGCTTTGCTCTCAGCCCATTGATATGGAAGGGTTCTTATCCATGCTTGGACACTTCTAGTACCCCATATGGGAGAACTTTTACCACATTGTAGGGGTCATACCACCTGGATTTCAGTTTTCTAGGAAATAGTCGCAACCGAGAGTTGTAGATCAGAACCCAGTCACCTGCTTGAAAACTCCTATGATAAATGTGTTTATCATGCCACTTCTTAGTACGCTCTTTGTATAACTTGGCATTTTCAAATGCCTCAAAACGCAATTCATACAATTCATTGAGTTGCAACAGTCTCTTTTCACCTACGACCTGTGAATCAAAATTTAGGAACTTCAAGGCCCAGTAGGCCTTGTGTTCAAGCTCAATTGGTAAGTGACATGCTTTACCAAAAGCCAAACGATAAGGGGACATACCAATAGGGGTTTTGAAAGCAGTGCGATAGGCCTAGAGTGCATCATCCAATTTTAGAGACCAATCTTTCCTGGAGTTGTTAATAATGCGCTCTAAAATTCTTTTCAATTCCTTATTAGATATCTCAACTTGCTCACTAGTTTGGGGATGATAAGGAGTGGCCACCTTATGGGTAACACCATATTTTGTCAAAAGAGCTTCAAATTGTTTATTGCAAAAATGGGTGCCACCATCACTAATAATAGCTTTAAGGGTGCCGAATCTAGTGAAAATATTTTTCTTTAGAAATTTAATCACAACTCGACTATTATTGGTGGGTAATGCTATAGCTTCTACCCATTTGGAAACATAATCAATGACTACTAATATGTATTCATTATGCATGGATTTGGGGAAAGGCCCAATGAAGTCTATGCCTCAGACATCAAATAATTCACAAATTAAGATATTACTAAGAGGCATCTCATGTTTCCTAGATATATTTCCACTTCTTTGACACCTATCACATGACTTAACATACAAATGAGCATCTTTAAACAAAGTAGGCCAATAAAAACCACACTGCAGGACCATATGATCAATTTTCGATGGGCCACAATGACCTCTCACCTCCCTAGAATGGCAATGGTTAAGAATCTCATTAACTTCACTGTCTAAAACACACCTCCTAATCGTATTGTCCCCACAAATCTTAAAGAGGTAAGGTTCATCCCAAATATAATGCTTCACATCAGACCAAAACTTTCTAAGCCTATGCTTGTCAAGTAATTTAGGAGTTACATTACATGCCAGATAATTTACAAAATCCGTATACCAAGGTGCCTTAGAGATTGCGAGGAGCCTCTCATCAGGAAAAGAATCCTTAACCTCCTTCACCGTGGGTTCCCTTACTGAAGCATCCAATCGAGACAAATGGTCTGCTACGACATTCTCACTCCCTTTTTTGTTTCTAATCTCCACATCAAACTCTTGGAGGAGAAGGATCCACAGTATAATCCTTGGTTTAGCATCCTGTTTTGACAACAAATACTTGATGGCAGAATGGTCAGTAAAGAAAACTCTGGACATTGTCAAATAAGAACGAAATTTATCAAATGCAAAGATAACAACAAGTAATTCCTTCTCTGTAACGGTGTAATTACGCTGAGCGTCGTCCAAGGTTTTACTTGCATAATAGATGGCCTGAAACACCTTATCTCGCCTTTGTCCTAGAACTGCTCCCACAACTACATCACTAGCATCACACATTAGCTCAAAAGGTAAAGACCAGTCAGGGGCCACAATCACAGGAGCAATTGTTAATTTCTCTTTTAATTTCATGAAAGCAGATAAACATCTTTCATCAAATTTAAACTCTACATCTTTAGCCAATAATTCAGAAAGGGGTTTTGCTATTTTTGAGAAGTTTTGTATAAACCTCCTATAGAACCCAGCATGCCCTAGAAAACTCCTGACTGCCTTGACACTTGTAGGGGGAGGTAGTTTAGAAATAACCTCAATCTTGGCAAGGTCTACTTCAATACCTTTTCCTGACACCTTGTGCCCCAAAACAATGCATTCATCAACCATAAACTGGCACTTCTCCCAATTTAAAATCAAATTGGCTTTCCTGTATCTCTGTAAAACTAAATTCAAGTTATGTACACAACTATCAAATGTGGTGCCATATATAGAAAAATCATCCATAAAGATTTCAATACAATGCTCTAACAAATCTGAAAATAAAGCTATCATACACCTTTGAAAAGTAGCGGGGGCATTACATAATCCAAACGGCATTCGTTTATATGCAAATGTATCATTGGGGCATGCAAAAGTAGTTTTTTCTTGGTCTTCAAGAACTACGGGTATTTGCATATAACCAGAATAGCCATCTAAACAACATTAATATTCATGCCCAGCTAACTTCTCTAACATTTGATCAATAAAGGGTAGAGGGAAGTGATCCTTCCTGGTGGCTTCGTTAAGCTTCCTGTAGTCAATACACATCCTTCATCCGATTACCTTTCTGACGGCGATGAGCTCGTGTTGCTCATTCTGCATAATAGTAGTCCTTCCTTTCTTTGGTATCACCTGCACATGACTCACCCAAGGGCTATCAGAGATTCGAAATATGATATCAACATCCAATAACTTAATTACCTCCTTTTTCACTACTTCTTTCATATTGGGATTTAATCGCCTTTGGGGTTGTACTTTTGGTTTGAACTCCTCCTCCAGGAAAATTTTATGAGTGCATATGAAAGGATTGATGCCCTTAATGTCATTGATGCTCCACCCGAAAGCCTCCTTGTTCTCTCTCAGTACTCTCAGAAGCTTCTCCTCCATGCTACCTGTCAAATTGGCAGAAATAATCACAGGTAAGTGAGATGGAGGGTGTAAAAAGGCATATTTAAGATTCGAGGGAAGAGGTTTCAGTTCTAGTTCAAGAAGTTCTTCAACTGATCGCTTGGTTATTTTCTGGGAGTGTTCTCCTAGATCTTTAAATATCCTTCGCCCGAACCATCTTCCAGGCACCCCACTGTTCAATGTTAAGATCTCATCTATTATTTCTTCAGTGTCGTGCAGATCCCTTCTTTCCAATGTAAGTATCCTCTCCAATGCATCTTTTATTAATTCATCTTGCACCTGTGACACATTCAGGGAGAGGGAGGTAGCATCTGCAGTTGTCACAAAATTACATGAATAAAAAATGGAGGGATGCTTGAGTGAATTAAAAACTTTAAATACTACTTCCTAATCATTCAATCTTAATGTAAGTTTCCCCTTCTAAACATCTATTATCATTCTTCCTGTGGCTAGGAAAGGCCTTCCTAGTATGATGGGTACTTCGTCATCCTCTTCCATGTCAAGGACAATGAAATCTGCAAGGAATATGAACTTATCTACCTTAACCAGGACATCCTCCACTATGCCCCTAGGATATGTTATCGAGCGATCAGCAAGCTACAAAGAAATTGAAGTTGGCTTGGTTTCTTGCATACCCAGCCTTCTAAACACAGAAAATGGCATTAGATTAATACTCACGCCTAAATCACAGAGCGCTTTATCAAAATAAGAGTTTCCTATAGTGCATGGAATCATAAAACTCCCTGGATCCTTAAGCTTAGGTGGCAGCTTCCTTAATAATATTGCTGAGCACACCTCATTCAATTTGACTGTCTCGAATTCTTCTAATTTCATCTTGTTGCTTAGCATCTCCTTGAGGAATTTAGCATATTTAGGCATCTGTGAGATGGCTTCAACAAAAGGAATATTGATGTGGAGCTTTCTGAGGATCCCAAGAAACTTATTGAACTGAGGGTCTCTCTGGTTACCCATCAATCATTGTGGGAATGAAACTTTCGGCCTTGGCATCACTAATGTATCTTCCCTTGCTTCTTTCTTCGTATCTGAGAGGCAAGCACAGCCTTGCTCATCATCTAGCACAGCCGTGTCTTCGGTGAGCACGGCTGTGCTTGGGACAAGCACGGCCGTGCATTCATTGTCTGCATAGGCGTGCTGTTCAAAGCACGGACGTTCTTTTTCAGCCAACATAGGCATGCAGGGTGATGCAAGGGCGTGATGATCAATAAGTACAGGCGTGCATGACTCATGTGTTTGCGTTTCATTCAAGTTTTCCCTACTTTTTAAAGTAATTGCCTTAGCTTGTTCCCTAGGATTCGGTTCTGGTTGGGACTGTAGTGCTTCTAGTGCTCTTTGACTGAGGAGACTAGTGATTTGCTCCAACTGGGATTCAAGCTTTGAGGACTAAGTCCTCATCTCAGCTCTGATTTCTACAAACCTCTTATCTTCCCTCTCAATCTGTTGTTCCATCTGGGCCTCAAGTTTTGCTATTCTCTTGTCAGAGCTATGCACGTATTGCATCATTTGTTATTGAAAATTGGATTGAAATCTGGGAGTTTCTCTTCTTTCTATCTTCTGCCCTTGACTTTGCACATGGGGGGTTGATAGGGCGCATTCTGATTTCCTTGGCGGCTTCCCCAAGGAGTTGTATTGCTATTACGCCATCCTGGGTTATAATTATTACCCATAAAGTTCGTCTCTTCCTGATCAAACTCTGTATTATGCACCAACTTTGTGGGTTGATCTTGTGCTCTCATTAAGCACTCCAGTTGCTTTGCGAGAGCTGCCATTTAGCTTACCAGTGGGTTACTGCTCTCTGCTTGATAGACTGGTGCAGCTTCCTTTCTTTTGAGGTTATATGTGTCAGTTGTGTGCCACTGAAAGCTAGCAGATGCCATTTCATCTATCAATCTGTATGCGTCATCTGGGTCTTTCCTTATAAGAGATCCTCCTGCGGCGTCATCAATCGTGGTCCTGTTATGGATGGATAGGCCACTGTAAAAGATTTGCACCTGCCTCCAAGTTAGAAAGTCATGGTGTAGGCATCTTCTCAATAATTCCTCAAATCGCTCCCACGCCTCAAACAGTGATTATGTCTCATTCTGTTGGAAGCAACATATTTCTATCATCAGCTTGGAAGATCTTGATGGAGGAAAGTACTTTCCCAAGAACTGTTAAGTGAGATCCTCCCAAGTTGTGATGGAATTGGCTGGGAGTGAGGAAAATCATGCATTCACCCTTTCGGACACTGAGAATGGGAACTGGTGGAGTCGAATAGCATCGTTGGAGACTCTGTTGTATTTTATGGTGTCCGTTAATCGGAGGAACTTTGTCAGATGCATATTGGGGTTTTCGTTAGGCATGCCCTCAAATTGTATGGAGTTATGAACCATGATTATGAGTGTTGGTTTCAACTCAAAATTGTTTGCCTCCACATTAGGTGTCGCTATGCTTCCAGGAGTGCCTCTGGCATTAGGTGTCATATAGTCTTGGATCGATCTCCTTCCCTCTGCCATTCTTTGCTCTCTTACTTCTTTTCTTTGTCAACGAATTGTCCTTTCAATCTCCGGATCAAATAAACAAGCAGTAGAACACTTAGAACGAGTGAGCATACATTAGAAGAAATTATGAAATACAAAATTTTAAAATAAAATAAATACAAAATTATAAAATAAAAAAAAAGTTTAACAATGAACAAATTAGAACTAAAATAAAGTAAAACATAAATTGCTTAAATCAATTAAATTTTAGATTTTCTTAATATTGAAAAAGTAATCCCTGGAAACGGCACCAAAAACTTGTTCGGAGGGCAAGTGTACCCATCGAAAAGTAATAAAAGGTTCTTAAATTAAGTCCCCGAATTATCGTCCCACAAGGATTGTTTTCCAATTACTAAGAATTTTCTAATTCAATTGTTTAATCTTCAAACATACGAGATTAATTAAAAACAAGAATTTATAAAATCAATTATAAAACTAAGAGCAAGGAATACAATGCACGTCTTGGTTAAACTTATCGGAGAGGAACCTAGGACATATGGGTGGTCTCATTCAATCCTTTATGTTATTTTTCTAATTAGATCTAAGTCTGATTTCCTTGTGATTATTAATCATTCATATGAATACTATTAATATTCAATGGTCATGCAATATTAATATTCTTTTCTCTAAATTAACATCTTCAATGATCATGCAAGATATCAATTTAAGAAAGCCTAGGGAGTCTATGAACTTGTTAATTCAATAACAATTAGAAGAAGGAGATTGGTTTGGTCTACCTAATCTTTCATCTTGTTTTATCCTATAGATCTATTAATTAATCAAGGTATGATCGTCTGACGATGTAATTAATTAGGGTTAAGAGTAATAAGCAATAAGATAAATTCTAATCACGAAACGGAAATCAAATTTAGATTCAATTATCAAAATCCCATAAATTCATAAACAATAATCCCCATAGCCCTAGTTATGGATTTAGTTACTGTTGTTGACAATCTAAACACTAGCAAGTGCACTAGGATTACAGCAAGTAATGAGTAATTTTTAAGAACAAGATATCGTCTCCACAGGGAATTTAGATTTCAAGTATCAATTCACAGAGTTATAACCATTTGAGCCATACGAATTTGGAACGAGAGTTGTAACATACAAAAGTAGTAAAACAAAGCAATTAAGAGTAAAGAAAAACTTGCAAAAAAACAGATCAATGAATGAAATGTGAGATTAGAAATGGATTAAAAGATAGTTAGGAATTTATTTCACAAGCATATCAATATTAATTCAATGATACCTATGAACATTTAAGCCCTTAGTTAATTGCCAATCAGTTTCTCTTATCAATAGTCAAGTTTAATTCCTTAAATCATTGACCCTAACGATAAACTGAAACTCCTTAATCCTTTAGGTGAAATTCAATTACACGTTGCATTAAGACTTAGAACTAAAGATTGCAGAATTAAGTTTCCTTATCCCTAAGAGATTCCCAATTTTGGTTGCTAATTCATATCAGAAAAACAAGTCCAATTACCATTGGTAAAGGCTTCTCATTGATTAATCAATTGAATTCCCATTCAAAGATTATGTAAAGTGCAAAATTAGCAACTCAACTAAGCAAAGAACTCAAAGTTCAGAAGTAAAAGTAGAATTAATACATCAATACAAGTTCCATAAATCCCTAACTATAAGGAACTACTCAAACATGGAAGAAGAGAAAGAGAAAGAAGAAGAAGAAAAAAAAACTCAAGGAAGCCATGGCCGTGAGCTCCAATTCGATTCCTCTTTTTGGCAGCTTCGAGACTTGACCCAATCTTCTCTCTCACTCTCTCTCAACGACCATCTAACAGAAAAACGGGAAAATGAACCAAACTCCCAACCGAATCTGAGCGTTCTGGTATTTATAGAAATTCCCAGGTTTGAGCATTGCCACTTTTCTCCATAATAGTAGCCACGCAGAGTCTCAAGTTGTTGTGCGTTAACACTTTTATGAGAAAAAGTGGTTACGCGCACTTTGCTGAGTTGAGAACTCTTTGGAATGCTCACTCTTGTTGGTAAAAGTGTCAACGCAGAGCTCAAGTGGTTGTGCGTTATTACTTTTATGAGGAAAAGTGACTACGCGCAACTCGCCAAGTTGGAGGCTCTCTGGAACTATCACTTTCAATAATAATAGTGGCTATGCAGAGCTTTCCTGATATTTTCACTCTCTGGAACAATCACCCTTACTGATAAGAATGGTAACGCAGAGCATTCTGAAACTTTGCCTTCTCTGAAACTATCACTCTTGCCAGAAAAAGTGATTACGCCCAAGCTGTACTTCACCTTTGAGCTCTGGAGTGATCACTTTTACTGATAATAGTGATCACGCCCAGCCTGTATTCCTCATTCCTTGTGTTTTGAGCCCAACCTTGCTACTCTAACTTTTCCTTTCCATTGTATTTCTACTTCCATGAACCTTGCTCAAATTATTCCTACAAAAACGAGATTAAAACTTAATTTCTAAGCAGAATTACACAATTTGCTAAGATAACTACAAATTGAAATAAAACTCAAATTCATTATATTTTTCTGAGTTTTTCTACTTTTCTCATGTGTTTTTCTTATCAATTTAGCTAGAATTATGCTAAAATATCAGTAAAAACATGGATTCATCAGTTATTCATGTAGAAAGAAAGCGCCAAAACAGTCAATAACATATCCATAATGAAGAGATATAGCAAACTAGAATATGAGATGAATCTTCAGTCTTCAAGTATGGTCACTTGAAACTTCAGTCCCGCCAAGAGTGTGCTAACGATCCATACAAGAGGAGTGGAAATGATCCGAGATCTCGAAGGGAAAGTTATGTGTAAATTCGTGCTCAGCCAAAAGAAGAAGAAGAAGCTCCCTTCAAGATGCCTTCCATCCCTTATTTATAGAATCTGAACTCCTTTAAAATTGCAAAGAGTGACTGCCGCAAACAAGCACGGTCGCGCTGCTCATATGCACAGTCGTGCATTACATCGAAGCACCCTCATGCTTCACTAGGCGTGCTTATTGCTGTGATGTTTTTAAGCCCATTTATTTGGGCCCGAAATCTACTTGTGGCCTCTTTATATCAAACTACACAATTAATAAATAAATTAGTGTAAAATCCAATTAAAATAAAAGTCAAATATGAATAAATGGGCTGTAAAAGAGGATCTAATTACAGACTTATCAGTAGACACATGTAATCTCAACCCAATTGTTGTGTTTATTTCATCTTCTTGCACACAATCTTGAAGTTTAAGCATCCTTCCATATGATCCTCTCACGTACGTAACACTTGTTCTAATTTTAAAGAATGCCTTATGAGTTACTTTTAGACCCTTTTGAACAATCAAATTGAGTATACTCCTACATAGTGATCTGCTCGAAAAGAAACAAAAATAGTCAAAAATGGGGTATATGTAAATTATGAGTACTTAGGATCTTTTCGTATGGCCTTCATTTTCCTTTAGTTTGTAAAATACTTGAATAACCTAGGAAAGGTAGGAGGTTTGTATTATATTATCTACTGTTGAACAACAACTCTATATATATATAGATGTGCATTATGTATGGGATATATGCCTTCATTTATGTTTACTAAACAGGAAAAATTTATTAGAGTCTCTAAGTTGAACATAGTAACATAATAATTGGGATGAAACTGTTAATAATAACGGAGTCGTCTCAAATACGACATGCCCCAAAAATTGTATCTGCGATAACCAAAATTCGCACTTTGGAAACTTTGCTTATAATTGTCGTTCACTCAGAATTTGTAAGACAATCCTCAAATGCTCAGCATATTCCTCATGGCTCTTCGAATAGATCAAAATATCATCTATGAACACTACCACCAATTGGTCCAGGTATTGATAGAAGATTCGATTCATGTAATCCATGAATATGGCCGGAGCATTAGTCACACCAAATGGCATAACTAAATACTCGTAATGCCAGTAACAAGTTCTGAACGCAATCTTCAAAATATCTTCATTCTTCACTCTAATTTGGTGATATAACTAAATACTCGTAATGCCCATAACAAGTTCTGAATGCAGTCTTCGAAATATCTTCGTTCTTCACTTGGATTTGGTGATATCCATATCGCAAATTGATTTTTGAGAATACTGAGGCTCCTCACAGTTGATCCATTAAATCATCTATTCTGGGGAGAGGATATTTATTCTTGATTGTGACCTTGTTTAGTTGGCGGTAGTCAACGCACATCCTCATACTACCATCTTTTTTCTTCACTAAGAGAATAAGAGCTCCCCATGGCGATACGCTTAGTCTGACAAATTGTTTCTCCAATAAGTCCTCAATCTGTTTCTTGACTTCGGCCAACTCAATTGGCGACATCCGATAAGGTGCAATGAAGACTAGGCTCACTCTTGGTATGAGGTTGATCATGAATTCAATCTCTCTCTTGGGTGGCAGTTCAGTTACATTTTCCGGGAAAACCTCTAAAAATTCGTTCACTACTGGTATCTGTTCCGCTTTCACATTCCTTTCTGCCTCAGTAGAAAATAGTACCGTGAAGGCCTTAACATTGACCATGTTCCTTGAGTCTCCCTCACATAGGAGTCTAGAACTTTTCGGTATTCTATCACCAAAAATTAGTTTTTTCTCTTTCCAATCAAGAAGGACATGATTGGACGACAACCAATCCATTCCTAACACAACATCCAACTGGGAAAAAGGTAGGCAGATCAAATCTACCGAGAAAGTTCTACCATGAACTATCACAGAACAACCCAAACATGCATGCGAAGTCACCACAGGTTGACTTGTGGGAGTAAATACTACGATAGTGTATGGCAGAGAAGAAACAAATAATTCCAAACAATGCACATAATCCAAAGAGATCAATGAATAAGTAGCACCAAAGTCAAACAGAACATCTACTAGTTTTTCTTTCATAATACATTTACCTCGAATGAGGTCATCTAACTTTGCTGCTTCGGAGCTGGTCATTGCAAACACCTTGCCTTGCACATTGAACTGTAATCCTC